GTATGTACGAAACCTGCAGTTATTGAGGTTCGATGCCCGACTTTTTGACTGCGGCCCAACGACTCTCATGAAAGGTCTCATCCTTTTCCTTTTAGCGTCTTCCGTGTTTCTGAACATCTCAGAGCTATTGAAGGTGAACTGCAGTTGTGTGGGCAGTCGTGTTTTCTTTTGATAACCTTGAATTGAGTGTATGGCCCGTCGCCCGATGTATTGTTGATGTTGTTGTTGTTGTTGTTGTTGTTGTTGTTGTAGTGTTTTGCTCCGCGGCACGGGAAACAGAGAGAGGCTGTGTGTTTGTCCATGACAGGATGAAAGATTGGAAACCTTTGGCTCTCTGTAAACATGGCTTTGTGCATCATGGCCGCTTGCCTCCAGCCTCCAGTGCCATGCTAATGATTCATATGCTAATGAGCATCCCTCCGAGCTATTGGCCGCTGCTGAAGCAAGTGTAATTCCTCCTATACGTTTTGATCTGCTGGCATTTGCTACACTCTACCCCCCACCCACCCACCTCCTCTCCTCACCCTCTCCACCCCCCAGCCTCCCTTCTGTCCCACTCGCTCCTCTCTTTCTGTCTCACAGTTGAGGAGTGACTGTTCAGAAGAAAACCAGCTGAGCGAAATCTTTTAATTCTCCAGTGTCAAATGTACGATACGATCCCTTACTACGGTTACAAAGTATGTGAAGTGCGCCTTAAAATCCAACTTGCTATCATTGCTCTGGAGAAACAAAACAGAATTGACGCTTACAAACAAAGCCATTTCCTATCTTTGTCAACCCTCGTGTTATCTATGACGCTGTCTTTGTTTTTGTGTCACCCTCCTTCTCCTTTTATACTGAATAGTCTGGTTTGTATTTGTCCTTTTGTCACTTTATCTACATGTCCTTGTCAGAATGTCACTGCTTTAGTTCTCCACGATTGATCCGCTCTCCTCTCGACTGTGTTGCCTCTGTGTTGCACAGAGTCCTTGTCTCCCTCCGACATATTATTATATTACATTATCATTAAAGGTTAAATAAATAAATACCTACAGATGAAATAGTGTCAATGTAAAAAAACATTACATTTTCAATTTCCTAGAGCCTTTTAGGCCAACGGCCATCATTAAGATCTCAAATGTATCATCAATTACGAACCCTGCAGGGGTGGCATGTTTGGCACTGCTGCTCAACGAACAACATAAACAATAAATCTATTATAGTTGTAGTTGTAATAGTTGATATATTTTCTGTCCAAGCTTTCAGAAAGGTTAGTGAGTGAAACTCAATCAACCCTCCATCCTGTCATGTTACCTTGCCCACGAACCACAGCTGTGACACTTGTATTGGCCGACCTCTAGCGAGACCCCCTGTCGACCCTGATGATCACGCCCACGGTTTACTCATCATTTCACCAAAACCAGTCTTTCCCTGACCTTAAACAAAGGCTTTTTGTCGCCAAAAAACGCCAATGAACATAATCCAGCTGGCACCGACTACATTTCATACAAAAAGTAATTTTGAAAAGAAATTGGAAGCATATAAACATCAAACATCATCCATGTGAAAACATTTGCTCCAGGAGCGATGAAGCTGTGGGAACTGGTCCGGTGCCATTGGTTGTTTTGTGGGAGTGGGAGTGGGAGGAGAATGGGAGGAGGCGGACGGGGAGAGGTAGAGGCAGAAACAGCCACAGAGGCACGGAAGGGGAGAGGAGGCTGGTCTGTGTTGAACATCTAAGTGTGTCTTCTGCTATTCTGGAGTCTGTTTCAAACCTCCTCAGTGTCCCTGCGTGTTTCTCACTTGCTCCTCTGCCCTGTCATCGTACTCCTGTTTCTCTCCTCCATCTTTCCTTCTGCTTCTCACATCCACCCACACTCTCTCAAACATTGTGCCTTCTCCACCCTCTCCAGCCTCCTTCAGATTTTATGATTCTGTTTAATGATTGATGAGCTTCACTTGATGCCATATTCTTGACTTCTGTAAATCTATCATCGCCGAGTCCCCAAATCTAACATTATGCTGTGTTCTGTGTGTGTTCTGTACACTATGCGTCTGTTTACAGCGTAGTGGCCAAATGTAAGTGCAGATTCGGCCAGGCCCCAAAGCGCCCCTCTCTATTGGAAAGGTTTCTGTCGAGCTGGACACGTAAGATGTGAACTGATAAATAATAGAGTGTATTTGGGATGCATTAGAGGGAGATACCGTAGAATATATAGAGAGGCCACCTGTCTGCAGGACACTGAAAGCCACACTCAGATAAAGCATTCAGCCCTCTGCTGGTTCCTGCAGGCTGCTCAAAATCCGTCATTGAGATCAAGGACAGCGTTCATCATTGAGTTTAACTTTGTGCAAACAATCTCTCTCTCAAAAAGAGACAAAGACAAGAAAGAAAGTTGGCCAACTAAAGATAAACAGCAGCTATAAACATTGCTTTTTCCTTTTCACAGCACACATTCCAGTCAAACTAGCAGGAACTGAAATTGATAGATGTACAAACAAGAGGAGCTGTGATCGTCAGTATTAGTTGCTTGTCAACACCTTTTAAACAACCTGCTGTATTTCAACAAGCAGCTGGTGGTGACAGTAAATTCCATTTATGGAAATATAAATGGTGACATCAATGACATACGTGACACTTTTAGTTCAAACTGGGCCAAAATGGAGCAGCATAGTGTGGAAAACATCGAACATTGTTTTTTGTCTGTCTGTCTTGATATGAGGAAACTATAAACTCAAAGTGTTCTTTTATGGAGGAACCACCGGCTCTGAGATCGTTCAGACAGCACTTAAATATTTATGCTCTTATGAATCTTGATAATTTGTATAATAATGATGCCAGTCATATACCTGTAAAGATCGGGCTAATAATAATAAATTGTTAATTAGCTTATCTAAACACAGCAACTGTCCGCATGCTGTGACTCTTCTCACTCTCATAAAAAATTGAAGGAGGATGGGAAAACCAGCCCGGCTCAGCCGATCCTGATGTTACACTGTCCTCATTTTGAGACTATTATTGTGTGATGACGACGTGGTTTAGCACCCTCAACTAAAACACAAGGTTCCTCCGTTTTAACTGCTCAGGCTGGAGCCTTTAAATGAGTATATTCTCCCTCATGTGTATTGGTCTCCCCTGTTTCCTTTCCCCAGGATATAAGATATAAGTCAGAGTAAATGGAAAACTGAAAATAGGCCTGTAAGTGTGAATTTCAAAGAGGAGAGCATGTGTCGTGACATCAATGTGTACAGTACTTGGACCCGAACATGACACTGTTTAAGTAACTGCGCTATAAAAAGTCTGCTGGTGTGACTCGTACACACCAGCAGATGCTGATAGCAGACACAGAGCAGAAATCACCAAGAATATTAGAACATCTTCTTCTTCTTGTCATTTCATTTTCCCAATTAACATTTCATGGCAGATTGCATCACTTATTTAGCATCAACTCCTCCAGCGTGCCTTCTTTGGTCCTGAATGCATGGGGTTATTTACAGCCATTGCTGTAGAGTATGTTGCTAAAAAATCACATTTTGAGAGGAAGATGGAAGAAGGTGGATTGACACTTCAAAGAGGGAAGTGAACGAATCAAAAGGAGAACAGTGTAGGAGGATTCACATTCATCACCAAGCGGAAGGAGCAGGCCTTTCTGGGTGCACAAACAATAAGGGTTTCTTGAAACTAATGTTATGTAAAATGTATTCATATGCAAGCATCCTCTCATATCGTATTTTGACATCCAGGCATGTTGTGCGCTGGTAAAAGTTCTTCAGTTTGATTCTATTTTTAATTTGATCCGCCGTGCACAACCTGACTCTTTTTTTTCAGTCATCTGCCAAGCGCTACATATTTTGTCAAAATATGGCATATCTGATTGAAACCCAGTCAAGTGAATGATGGTATTATCCACAGCAACAGATGGGCATAACATCTCCCAAACAGGACGCGATCCAGAATGTTTGTTTTCTGAGTCTGGACAAAAATTCACGTTGAGAGATAAAGTAATGTTGCATTGCTTACGTGCTCTTTATGTCCTTATTGTGAGGTTACCATGGAACAACATTACGTAAGAGCAGAGGGTCTGTGTGACTCAGCTCAGTGTTATCACCCTCTAGAGTTCCATAAAAACCGGGTTCAACACAACCTAAAGCTCAATAACTGTGACCAGTGTATATATCGTTCTGTTGAAAGCACGATGCGTTAAGTGCTAAAAATGTGCAGAATAAGTAAAGTGAGCCGTATAATATGTTACATGATGATGTAGCATTATGGCCCTTTTTCTCCTTAAAAGAGCTCTGAATATAAGTGTGTCTGCTTTGAGTTGGTTGTTGGGTTTTTTATTTGTTAAGTGTCTCTTACTCATTCCGTTGATTATTGTCAGTCCTGCGGCAATTATCCAAACTTCTGTCTGAGTGTATCACACATGATCAGACTGTATCAATACCCACGTTTTGTAAGGCACTTTCACTCTGAGTCGATTTTTGCGGTCGCTGCCAACAGAAATTGTATTCTTTTAGAGCACTTGAGTTCCTTTTAAAAAACCTCTTGTTTTACAGTCTGCCCCCCCCATTGCTTTCCTCTTTTCCAGCAAGCAGGGCTACGCGGGTTCCGCGTCAAGCTCTGTGGATATGCTGCAACCCCTTTAGGCATAACTACGAGTTTAACTTTGTCTCCACACCACACCATGTCAGCTGCTGTTTCACCACTGTGATAGAAAGGGTTCCAAGCGGAGTAACCATGTCTATTCCCTTTGTTTGTGTGTGAAGACAACAGCGTGCATGAGAGCGTGCGTTTTTTGGCATTTCATGGTTGTAGAACGGGTCCCTGGTCATTTTGTGATCTTTGGAAGCAGGCTGTAATCCTGGCATCAAACCAATTTTCTGCTCTTTTATCATATTTCAACGTGTTTGCGACCTGATGTTGTTCCAAGGGCTCTGTAATGTGCACTTACAACGCTGCTTTTGTAGAGACTGATCAAAAACGCGTCTCCCACATCCGTGTCTGTCTGGTCTCTTTGCAGGGGAAGAGGAATAAGCCCGGGGTGGAGGCTGCCAGCTCCCCAGATTCTGTGAGAGGTCGAGGGGAAAATAAAGCCATCAAGTAGGTGTCAGGCAGGGTTTGGATGCAAGCACATGGAAATTATCTATCATGTGTCGATGGTATCGCATTTTAACGCTATTTCTGATTTGAAAGCTAATCTCGTAGCCCCCACCGGCCCATGGCCTGAAATGGTCCACCATGGTATGATGCCCTGAAGACGCGTTATGTGGATGTACTTATCATCTATCAAAGAGGTTTAATTACACACTTTCTTTAGAATGCAGTGGAGGAAAGTTACAGAATTTAAGTTAACGCAAAAATTTAAATGCAGTATAGTCATACGATATTACGGAACACTATGTATTGTTCAGTTTAAAACAAAATATTAAATTTCTAAATTCAAAACAAATGAAACTCTTATTTTAACTATTAAAATTAGTATTATTATTTAATTATCTTGCATAGGTGTTTAATTAGTTTGTACTGTAATATAAAAAAAGAAAATAACCGTGAGAATGTATGTTGGTGTTATTAATAATAATTGAATGACATATACATCACTAATTTCTTATCATTTTCCTTTCTATTTCATATCCAATGTGTGTTTTTTCAATAAAATGTTGTTTTGTTGTATACTGACTTTTCTACCTCTTCTGTTTCATTTGTTTCCGAAAGTGACAGAGTGATAAAGCCTGCAGGTCATTTTGTCTTTCTCCACATTTATATTATCATCTATTTACATAGAAACTACAACTATCCCCCTTTTATCTTGTTGAACTACAGTATATGATGACTGACCTTGTAGTTTATGAGCAATGTATTAAGTACAAGTGTGAAAAGGCAACTGTTTTACAATGTAACTTTATACGCATTGACATGATTACATTGTTCTTATCGATCAGTACTCTCACCTTGACCTTTACATTTATGAAACAGAAGCCTAACATAACTATTTTTCCCTCATTGCCTCAGTCATCCATCATGTTTTTTTTACCCCTCTCCCTCTCTCCCTCTCTCTCCCTCTCTCTCTCTCCCTCTCTCCCCCTCACTCTCTCGCTAGCCACAATGATCTGGACAGAGACTTTTGGAATAACAATGACAGCAGCAACGTGCAACAGAGATGGACTTCCTACCCGCCCAAGGAGTTCCTCTTAAACATGTCTCCCTATGCTCCCTACGGAGACCCTCGCCTCACGCCCAAGTGAGTCTCAGTCATGGCTGGTAAGGGACCCTCAATCTGGGCAGGGCTGTAATGAACAGAGGCTTGTGCGCACCTTGGAAAAATCGGCAAATTGGCAATATTAGCCGAGTAAGATGTGTTTCAAACACTTTATAATATTATGTTTGTCTATTTGTATGCTTAAGTTTCTGGCAAATAGCACAAATATACTCGCAACAAAAGGCCAAGGTTGATCAATATATCACTGTGAGCAGTGAAAAGGTCACATATAATAGCACGAAGGGGGTCAGAAAGCTTCATTTTGCAATGCTGCCTGGCCACTGGTCTTTTTAACACAAGTCTCCTGGTAATCCTCGTGTTACTGCTCTCAGGCATGTTGACAGCGAGGTGGCGTTTAGTATGCACTGCTGGCCATGCGGCACCTGATAGAGATGTGCAGCACCAGCCTTCAATATTGCTGTGATTCCCCGACTGCCCTAACGTCCACAGAAATTACGACCATTTTCCGTATGATCGCTTTTTGCTAGAATGTGTTTCTGTCTGGCAACAGCTGCACTACATCAATGGAATATACCTCATTTTAAATCCTAAATGTCTATGAGAGAGAGGATTACTGAGAACATGTTGGAGACCCTCCTTTGAGAATACAATTTGGCCAGTAGTTACAAATCGAACTACAAAATCTGGGAAAAAAACAATATTTAGTTGCACAGTGTACCGGGTGTACAAGTGAAACGTTTGATAGCCCCGTTCCCTACAGCCCTGCTGCCTCATCAGACCCTAGTTGCCTCTCACCTGCAGCCCATTGAGTGTTACCATGGAGACAGACAACCCTCAGAGAGCCGATCTGAACCCTTTCCCCTTCGGTACAACCCTGCCTCTCCACGAAACGTTTTTAAATCTGCTCCTTAGTGTGCCGGAGCAGATTTAACCTAAACGTGCACTTAACTAAAGCATCACGGGCGGCTGTTGTGGATGTATCTGTGAGTGGGTTTGTTTAAAGGAATAGTTTTGGGAGTTAAATGATAAGATGTTCTGAAACCTGTCTGATAAACGTGAAGCTGCAGTCAGCTGCTGGTTTTCTTGGCAAAGACTCATCATTGAATCATCGGGACACGAGTAAGAACGAGAAGAACACCACATTGCCGTTTGCCATTCTGTATTATAAATATAAAGTCTCTAAAAAGGAAGCTAACAAGGCACAGAGACTTGGGTGAGGGGAACAGGTAGCACCTTGCTCTGCCCGCTGAGACGCAGCTGCCCTGATTAAAGCCCGCTGATTCAGACGTTGTGTCTTTTAATATCACAACAACATTTGCTGGTTTTGCCATGCGCCGGACTACTTCTCAGCAGGGAGCCATTGCCATAAAACTCGCAGAGACCACAGAAAGATATCCCGCCTTGCCAAGAAATACGCTGAGTATGTCAAGATCTAAGGTGCTGGTGGACATTAGAATATCTGTTTAGTTGCGACTTGTTGGTGTTCAGCTAAAGTGACCAGCAGGTAGCTTCACATTTAGCAGGCATGCGAGTGGTGTGCGATCATCTCCACTAATATTCTGTCAGAAAGCAATTAAGCTTATTTCTCTATTTCTTTTAAATGTACAAATGAAGCTTTAATGGGGTGGTTTTCGTTTTATTTCACTGTGAAGTCTTTTTGTTTGTGCGTCTTCGTCTTTGTGTAAAGACGTGTGTGTCTTTTTATTCCTCTCGTCTCTTTCTCACTCGCTCCGTGTTTTCAGCTCATTTGTTGTCACTACTCCCACTATCACTCATAGTACTGTAAGTGCTTTAAGGCTGCCTGATCGCCCTCCTGAGTCTGCTCTCCTGAGCCCTGTTCCAAAAATAGAGACAGTGTCTCTGCTGTTTACAGTGCAGCAATTAAGAGTTTGGTTGCTGTATTGCTGTTTCACATCAACCTCCATTCCGTCATCTGGATGCATATCACATGTCAGCGAGGCATTAAGTGAACCTGTTCATTCCCATCCTTTCTAATTACAACCTACTTGACTCTTTCAAAACCGCAGGGTGATCAATTACCTTGTTTATGTGCAGTGATGTTGAAGCTATTGCAAGAATCAGTGATCCAGCCAGACAGCTGTTGATCTTATTGAGATAATTACTTATATTTGAGCGGAATTCAATTGGATTATTATAGTGCAATTGTCCTAGAAATTGTAATATAATAATCCAATTGAATTCCTTACTGTAGAGGTAATTATTCTTTTGGGCAGATTTGTTTGTTTTTTATTTTTCAAGCTCGGAGGGGATTCAAAATGCATACATAAGCAGAATAAATAATTTAGATAAATTAGAATGAAATAAAATACAATTACTAAAACAAAGAGCCAAATTACCATATATGGTGTTGTTTCAGTGCAGTTATCTTTTGCCTAAAGGAAAATAAAAACACTGTAGACAAATGAATCATAATAACAGGAGGGTTTTCATGGCACTAATTGCATGTCCTGTATGCGTATTATAGACAGGTTAATCACAACGGTAGCCAAGACAGCTACTAATATATCTCGTTGAGCGAGTAGTCGTTCATTTTACAATCCGTGTCTCAATGTTGTGCAGCTGTGCGTCGTGTGGTTTGTCCTCACTCAGAACAAGGCCCCTGTCCTTAAGTCAACGTTCTGTCTCGTCACTGTGGCGTCTCATGTTAAGGTCAGGGATTCGGTGCTGCCATTTTACGATGAAAATGTTTCAGGCTAAACAGGCTTTAGTTTTTATTATGAGCTGCAGGTGAGCAGCTGGGAGATTAGAGACTTTTGCGTTGTTACTCGACTGTTATTGTTAATTTACTGAGCCGGCAGATTGGTCAATGCTGTCGGCTACGTGGTGTCAAATGACGCCGACCTGTTGCTTCCCACACTCCTAAAACTATTTCTCACCAAAACTAGTTTTGACAAAGTGAAAATCTGCATTTCCTTAAAGGCAAAAGCTGTTTACTTGGCTTGTATTTGGCACTGTACAAGTTAATTTGGCATTTCAAATGATCTTCACATAAACATTGCAAGTAACCTGTCAGTGCTGCTCAGCTTTGCATTGAACTATTGTACTGTACATTGACTGTACATTTGTTTCAGCCAAGTGTCCACAGAAAAGACACAGGTTTACACAGTGAATCTCCACTCAAAACTCCTCACGTTCAAGTTGTTGTGTAATTAACACTCGTTGGCTGGACAGACGGCTCACAAAGTGTCTCACTCACCGGTTTGACCGGTTTGACTATCTGTACTGATGAACCTTTTGCTCTCCGGCTCTGTACGTCTGTCTCTCGTCTGTCTCTCGTCTGTCCCTCCCTCTCTCTCTCTTTCCTTTTTGTTGCCTGGGTCCGTTCTTCCTGTCTGTCCGTGTTTCTTTGTCCCCGACCGCCCTCGACCGCTCCTCCCAGTGGGGCCGTGGATAAGGGTGGGCAGGGCGGCGCTGGACCCTCGCCGGGGGCCAGTGACAGCGGGGGTGGTGCTTGCTCTGGGGCCGGGCCCAGTCGCAGTGACAGCGTTCGAAGCATGCTGATGGGGGGCGGCAAGGCCGGGCGCTGGCAGACGGTCCAGAGCCACATGCAGGCCGGAGGTCTACGTTTTGGCAAGTGAGTGGCGCATGGTGACAGGGGGCAACGCATGAGGGGCCACGGGGGGCACGACGACAGCATGGTGTGGATAGCAAGAGTGTGAGTTTGTGAACACAGTGAATGGCCTCGTCGCATGTACATTTAAAGAAGGACGTCAACGGAAGCTATGTCGGACCCGGTGCAGATGAAGATGATGTACTGACGTGCTGGAGGAGAAGCCAGGGCTTTTGCAGGATGAACCTGAGATGCATGAATACGGTCAGGCAATGCTCTTCCTCTGTAGTCTCCAATTTACCTGAAGCTGTGAAAGCATCTCAAACAAAGCAGATGCCCACAGAAAATCTCCAAAGATGGCGTGCTTGTTCCTTTTAAGTAACAGCTTTTTTAATTTAGGGTGGGAGGTGGGTTTTATAAGGCCACTGAGAGAGAAAATAAAACGTTTCCTACAACATGGTTCAACGCATCCTAATTTTAACAAGGTTAACTGTGAATTACCCACAACGGCTCAGAAGGTGTGTTTTTTTCTGCAATTAGGATTGTACACCACCCGATCTGCTGGAATTTGAGTATGTCAGTTTAGATTGGCATGGTACTGTAAAGATGAAATCCAAAGTGCAAAGGTTTAAGTTGGTTCAGGGTCATGTGCTTTGATCAAAAGCCAAAAGGTAAAAGCCTGTGTGCAGAAAATCATTTTGATGTAGGCGGCTGTGGTTGTCAGATTATCTGGAAAGCTGTTTCAATGTTCAGTAATATTTAGAATTTGTGGAGATTTTCCCAAACCTAACCAAGTAGTAGTTGTTATTAAACCTAAGGGTGTCCAAAGGGGACAAGTTAGGAATCTGAACAGGTTGGGGGTAAATAGGACCCTAGGAAGAGGAATTACCTCTTGTTGAGAAGCAGTTAATTCTGGTCATCCGATCTTTTCCCATTAATCATCTTGCGATCACTCACATTTATTTTGCAACAAGTGGGGAAGGCCCCAACCCCCAAAATTAAAATTGCTCTGGTCCACATGGTGTTGTCCCGGCTCTTACCTCTGGGCAGCTGATCGCAGCACACAATCACACAATCACACAATCAGTAACAAAACCCACCCCTGGAAAAATGGCTCTAGATAAATATTTAGCAAGAATAACCTCTGTATTTTTTTATTATAATCTACTCCATATATTGCCTGTGTGTTGTATGTGGAAAAACAAATGAAGGGTTAATAAAAGCTGCATATTTTTGCACACTGACGAGATCATGAATAATAAATATAAGATCTGTCTGTATGTAAATCATAGCCCAGATAAACGCACACTCTCTTGTACTGTATCGCCTGAAGTACTACTAGTAATCAATCTCTAGCTAAATATAGTTGAATAAACAAGTGTAGCGTTCTGATATACAGTTGGTTCACTATAAAAGTCAACCTCATTCATTCCTTAATAATCTTTAGTTATTGAATCAATAACACTGTGTTTCTTCGTTATTATCCAGTAGCTTGATAGAAAAGACAGAGAGCAACAAAACTGCCGCCAGACTGGATATTTATAGATCTCGTATAATTAATTAATTATTTTTAATTTTTGACTGAATATAACAAAGAAATTTAAACTTTATACTGATACAATATGTTGCTTTTTAACAACATGACAATACAACTTAAAAAATGACTTTTGGAATAGAATTTGAAATGCATTAATCTCCTGTCGCGTGACTCCTTCTTTCTAAATCAGCCTGTATTTCCATTTCTCCTCTGGAATTGGTTTCTATTTTGGGGCATTTCATTCTCCACCTCTCTTTTTTTTCACTCTATTGGAGGTTTTTCTCTCGCTCTAACAACTGTCTTCTCGCTCTTCACCCTCCTCAATTTTCTCTAATTACAAAATAATTCAAGGTTTATAGTCATCTTAATTGCCTTTCAAGCAAGAAGAAATCTGAAAAAATAACCTCTCTAAGTAAGTAATAGAATACAGCAGATAGGGAAGGCTCTCGTTCCGGGAATATAAATGACACAGAAGACAATAAAGATGCGCAAGCACCTGAAAGCACGAGTAGCTACAACAAGCGATGAAAGGACGACTGTTGTAGAGCCTCCACATTTTCAATATGAGTGAGTTCTCTGCCAATTGTGTAACACTGCACAAGACTAGCGAGATGAATTAGCACATGGAGCGGCTGGCATAATGCCACAATGTATCCAGCCAGATGTATTGATTTCTCATGATGTCAGTTATGATAACAGGTTGTCGGACGCAGAAATAAGCTCTCTGTGTGTGCAACTGGATTTTTATCCCGCTAAGACACTGAAACACGTACACTTGTGTCCACTATACAGCAGCTGCATTGTTTGGTTTGCATCCTGTTGAAGGAAAAAGTCAAGATTTCATCCTGTCCTACATCTGTAGTTCACTGAAACTCAAATTGTTAGTTCAGATAAGATAAATGACATCAAACTGTGTGCGGCATTTCAACTGATTTGAGGATGAATGAGAATGAAGGTGATTAATGTCAGCTCTGAATGTGCGATCTCAGTTTAGTATGACAGCCGGCTCTGGAAACAACAACTCCACATTTGTCACAGGTGTAAACCAGAGCTTCAGCAACTTGCTTTTGGGAAGAAAAATGTGTAAGAATTCCTCAAATGACTATATTCTTAGTTACTTGATTCTATAAAAAAAAATTTCAAGGAAGTTTTTATGTACTAAAGGCTATCATCTTTGCATTATTATATTTATTTATTTTGCTCATATTTTGTTCTGATGATTCCACTTGGGGTTTCATCCAAACCTTGGAAGTGCTCCAACTCTGCCCTGCAGAAAATAAACAAAACTTGTACCTCTGGAGCTCAGAAATTTCCCCCTCAAAACTCTGACACATCTACCCCACAGAAATGCAGCAAATGAGTTTCATGCATTCACTCACAAGTAATTCACAACTAAATAAACATTTACTTCAAAGCCTTTCCTCAGGAAAGACTTAATGGCAATGTGCAATCTTTGAGAGCTTGTGTCTATGATGCATGGGTGCATGTATATGAGCTCTGCCTTGTATTTACTCCGCTCCTCGGGGGGCTCCTCTCCTGGCTCTCCAGCAGAGTTAGAGCTGAATTAATGCTGAAGAACTGGCACTAACACAACTCAAGTCCAGGCCGTAAATCCTCCCTCACAGCATTAGCTCCAGACGGAGCTGTTTAGCACAAGCTTACATCTATCAGGCGGGGCCGTGATTGAAGGGAGGATAAGCGGAGAAGCATTATTATGTGATTGTAAGAGCAGCAGATCGGTAATTATAGAGCGGGCTTTGAGGACGGTGATTGGAGGTGGTGTGGAGATGGATTGATGTGAGGGCTCGCGAGAGGCGGGTGGGGGGGGGGCAGACGCGATGGAGAGCAGTCGAGCTCAGAAGTAGGAAGGTAACGGGAAGAGTGGGCAGGGGAAACGCAGCGGGAGCAGACAGGACCTTAGAGAGACGGGAGGAAAAGGCAAGAAGCTAGAAGTATGTCAAGGCTAATTAGGGGAAGAGGTAACGTAAGGAGAGAATATAGAACTGCAGATGGAGAACAGAGACCCGCGTGAGATTGATACTATAACTTCTGCTCGTGTTTAATTCCACTTCCACCCCAGAGGTTTGTTTTGAAGAAAAATAATTGAACATTTACACATTGCATGCCAACTTATCCAAGCACTCGCATCGACAATCACTGTCATGCAGCATAAGCTTGTAATTCTACACGGTTGTTTTGATAAAGATGTTAAACAGTTATCTTGAGCTTTTTGACAACTTGTCTTTTTTCTCTTCCTCTTTCACTGATCCTCTTTTGTTGTTTGTTCTCTCTTGATACCTTCCCCCTCGGATGTTCACTACAAAAACCGTGTCCCCGCATTTCAATCTCTCCTGTTTAAAAAAAAAAAAAAAATTTTACCTTCTGTCCCATCTTTTTCATATCATATCAAACATTTTCATTTGCCTTCACCTCTTCTAAATCCTTTTTAAAACGACCTGCCCTGTCCCGTATATATCTCTAACTCCCATGTCTTCCTTGTTGTATCCGTCTCTGTCCTCGGCGCTCCCGTGCGTCTGCTTAGTTTTGGGGACGCTTCCCTCTCGTCTGCCTCCACCCTGGAGCACATCCCGTCCTCGGCCGTGGCTCGCCCTCGGCCCTTGGTGCGGCAGCAGAGTCTTCAACAGCCCCTCACTCACCAGCCCCCGCCGGGCCCCAACGACCCCCCAGTCACCTCGCAGAGCCTGGGCCAGCTGCACACTGGTCCAGGCGGCGGGGGCCACCGCGGGGGCCCGCGAGGGGTCCGCGGGAGCCCGGCCGGAGCCTCCCGGCACAGAGGTGGAGGGGCCGGTCGATCAAGGTCAAATCCTGGCAGCTGGGATCACATGATGGAGCAGATCCGCCACAGAGGGCTGGACGTCAAGTCGTTCTTGTGAGTGTCGCGAAGCTTCCTACTCGGGCAGTTGCTGCTTCCTCTGCAAAAAGTGTTGTTGAGGCTTTGCAAGACTTTCAAGTCAACTGCAGACAAATCTTTCATCATGCACTTTAATAAGTAGTCCATGTGTCCTTACATTAGTTTAACCAAACATTAGTAGGTTATATTGTCTTCCAGGCTTTTGTTATTTGTCATTGTGCGGTTGTGAAGGGTGGATACTCTTTTTTGTGTGCACTGTTACTTGCAAACAAACCGCAGAATGCAGAGATTTCCTGTAGGTATAACATCTAAATATTATCTGTAAGTGGGTGTTATATATTTTGCTAACATATATTAAGACACGAGGTTCTTAAGTAAACCTATTTCCAACTCCTGTGGACGAACTGTCACGGTCGTCACACTGTGTACTTCCACATCTGCAGGCCCACAAACGATTAGAAGAATCAGCTCACCCCGCAGTTAGCGAGGTTCATTACTACGCCAACGATTTTACGATCCATTCACCTTCCGAGTCGGATGGCTGCAGGTGTGCGAAGGCTACTCATAGTTTGAGCTACCCGGCACGGACAGCTCCCCCCCCCCCACCCCCACTCCTCTACACTCTCACCTCCTGCCCATGAACACTCACACACACTCTGCGCTACACGCCTGTACTTTTTGCGTCTCTTCCCATTATCAGCGCCCCCCGGGCCAGTGCCCTCCCTGTCTATGTGAATTATCATTCAAATAAGGCAGGGCACACACACACAGGGCGGTGGCACCGGACCAAACAAAACAGCCGGCGACCCCCGAGGGGGGAAACACACGTGATTTGTCGGATATGAGCAACCAAATGCATCAGGTTCACCTTCCACGTGTGTCCATGTCTATCGCACCGTGGCAATGGACCGCGGCGCTTACATTTTAGATGCGGTGGAGGTGGTAATGATTCCAGAAACCCTGCAGGTTGGATTGCGCGTGTCTTTTTTGTACGTCTATACAAATCCATTCACCTTATCGACGGGCGCCATGTCGGGACTGTTTGCACATCCCCAGCGGTCTCTCAGGTGCTAATGCACTCCTTTTGTTGTCAATATTGCTTCGACAAACAGCCTCCTGTTAGTGCAGAAAGCACACGCAGGCTGGAAAATGAGATCATAAGTATGGAGAGATGGAGAGATGAAAGGGAGAATATTAGAATAAGGGTGAGAAGAAGCTGATGCATCTGTCACAGGGTAATAAAGATCTGTTGATCCTATTGCTAGTAGACTTCTTAACTGTCTGCAAAATTACACGTGCATTTAGTTTTAAGTTTTGGTCACTGAGTCATTTCTCTATTTGTTTTCTCCTAAAAACTATCAACCTCAAAACAAGGGTAGAAAATTGCAGCAAATGTTTTAGAATTAAAACAAGGTTTTTGAACATAAACTGTATCATTGTCCTTTTAGGAATGACAAATGCTATTAGGTGCTCTATACAGAGGATTGGAGCATAATAGAGACCGAGAGGAAAGAATGAGAAGCCAGAATAGTGTAAATACGTGCCTTCATCTCGGTTGTTGTGTCAGGACTGTGGACTACAAGGTTAGTTGTGGGTAGTCATGTATTTGTTGAGGTCATTGTTTGCATGGGCTCTTGAATTCACCGTACAGCATACTTTATTCAGATGTAATTAAAATGACCCTTGGGCATTTTAAGAGGGGAATGACATGACATTCAACTTAATATGTTTCTTTGTTGCAGGTTTTTGTTGAGGCAATTTCAATTTGCATGGATTTCTTATGCTTTTTCCAGCAGGTCATTTCATTGCATCTTTTTTTCTCTCTGACTTAATCCAAACCCTTCTTTAGGGTTTTTGCGTTTCTATTTTTACACATAAATGATTCCAGTATACAGATAACAAAGGATGATAAAGCCGATGGAGACATTAGTGGTTCTAAGCCTTTCCACTAATGATACTCATTTCAGCCGAACACAAAGTACCTACAATAGATTTAAGAAATACTCCTGAGAAATTATTTCTTGTATGAAGACACACTGTTCACTGATAAAAAATCTCATATAATGCTATTTGTCTCCAACAGGTCAGAAAGCAGTAGTCTGCAGTAGTAGTGGTGTCCCAGTAGTATCATCCACTGTGTTTCAATTAGACACAGCACTGCAATAGACAAATTAACATTAGTAAAGCATGGGCTACTACATTAGAGCCCACACAGCATCACATCAGTGTTAAAACACTAAAGTATGAGTGTAGAATGTAATAGAATACACAACGGCAAGCTATGCGTGCAATAGAAGGTTAGTCAAGTATCAATAAAGTCTGAATTGTAATTTAAATTCACTCCATAGAAAACAGCTGCAGTTGAGATGCCCTGCAGTGTTCGGTATGGATTGAGTATTTGTCCAAATGAAATAGCGTCCTCACAGCAGCCGGCCGCCCTTCCACTCTCTCTCTCGCTATCCGTGAAATGAATGTGTGTCTGTCACTGCCTGTTTGTTTCCGTGTGTGTGTGTCTGTGCTGGTTTGCCTACACACCTGTGTGGTCTCGTGACGTCTTGTTTGTCTGTGTGTCCAGTGAGGGGAAGATGGTTGTTCTGTCTCTAGCTATCGGGATGGCTGAACAGGATGACTTTGCCAACCTGCCGGATCTGCAGGAAGCGCCAGCAAGCAAAGAAAACGAAACCACACCAGAAAAGAGGTAATGAGAGAAAGAGAGAGTTGACAATTAGTCAGGCAGGTAGATGACGTTGTTGTTTTTCATAGAGTGAAGAGGTATGCAGTGGTGTAATGACATGTCATTTAAAAGTGTTTGTAGGATTATTTCTCCCTCTTGTATTTGTGTACTGGTGTAGATTGATATCAAGGATCAAACGTTTCATCATCTCAAATGAAGTCATTTTCATGTTGTCCTTAAAAAACTGAACAACTCTTTTAGCTGTTTGTTCTATCCATATCATTATTATTACAAGCAATATACACCACAGTTTTCAAAATGAAAACTAAAAATATATGATTTAAAAATGATTTCAATAGGTATCATCACTGAAGAACATGCTTTGTGATATATATATGAATTTAAATTGAATAAGAAAACCTTTGACGTAGGTGTATATACAATACAATACAAAAGTTTGGACACACTTTTCTCATTGAATTGAATAACAAAATCTGTCCAAACCTTTGACTAGTACGTACGTAGGTCTTTGACAGGTTTGAAAAATAAATTATTATAAATGTATTTTTCTAATTCTTCTCTACTTTTCCAGAAACATACGCCTGATCTGTCTAGATGTAATTATTTGCAAACCGGACATCAGGCCATTAAAACATGCTTTGGTTTTCCGCTTGATGCAGCTTGATTAGTTGTTTTTTCTGGACAGCTTATCCATTCAGCTTCACGTCCAACACATCTTACATCCACTTGTTCCTTTTTTCATGTCCTCTGCCTGTGTTCTTCATCCAGACCTTTTGAAAGGCTTATCTGCAGCGCTTCACAGTTTGATTCTGTGAGTCTCAGACACAGGAGAAGGGCACCCTCATTATTTAGTAGTGAGGTTCCTCACATGAAATGCTCGTCTAAAAATATGCTAACCTCTCATCTCCCAGTGATCTCAAAGCACTAACACAATCTCTCAGCTGGTGAACAAAGGACTAAACTGTCTGCCCTCTTATCATATCACAGTGTTTGAGGGATAAAGTGCTTAACCCGCTGTTTTCACACTGGTAGTCTGGGGATGAACCAGGGTTCAGTCCTACATAACAAGTTTTCAAAAAACCTCTTTGCAGTGCATCCGTGTTGTAACTAGGTCATCGTAGATTTCTGAGGTTGAGAAGGAAACGGCAGTCTGTTTCGGGAAGAAAGGAACATTTGTCTTGCTTTTTTATGTCATTGCCACAAATAGGACTATGCTTTTTATTTTATTTAAAATAGGGGTCGTTCAGAGGATAATGACCACCGACCTCTTGTCCCGCCCATCATCCTGCCTCCCTCTCGCTATCTGAAGGTCTGTCAAGCACCTACAGCCAAAAGCGAGGGTCTACCCCTCAGGGAAGATGCTCCAAGGGGCCTTCCGCAACCAAAAAGACCTCTCCATCATCATCTCTGTCCGTCTCTCTCGTCTAGAGTGTGTTCTTAGTCACGCGCTAAGCTCTCTGGGCCCGTCTGCTGCTCTAGACGGTTTCATGGTGCCAAGCAGACTGAAAACGATATAACAGGCCAAGAGTATATGTGACGAGACGAGTCGCTGTCAGACAGTGAAACAGAGACACAAAGAGTGGGACATCTTTGCTCCCAGATTTCTAGAGAATTGTGTTGTAAAACTAAAACAGACATTCCCCCTAGAGGTTTGGGATTCGGTTGGTTTATTAACGAAATCAAAAAAAGCCAGCAGCACAAATATCCTCTATATCTGATATGAGACATGACTGGATGAAAACCTCTGTGCGCTTTGTATTACGTTCAGTCTAAAAATGGACGTTGAACAAACGGAGTGCAACTCTTGCTTTTAGAGGTTTAGTCATGTATAATGAAAGCTGCACTGAAGCCCACAGAAAATGCTCATTTTTAAGGGCATACTTGTAAACATCCGTCTGACAAGCTCGGCTATAGCACACCACTCTGTAGACATCCAAACCTTACGGAAGCCCCCCGTTTCAAAGCATTAAAATACTCTCAGTATTTATATAGTACTCACTTTGTAATATATGGGACCTTTACTCAGTAAATAATCGGTTGATATGCAGGCAGAGACTGTAGTGGCGTGCACGTAGACTTCGCCAGAATGACCCTACAAATCTTGTGTTGTAACCAACCTAAAGACACAACTGTATACTGACGATGCTAATCAGCAACTTGATTATCACGCCTGTCAGCTGGATTGATTATTCTATTGCTCACTGACAAAGTTTTAAAGAAATAAGCCTATATTTCATTTCAACTGGGGAAAATTGGGGAAAAAGATGGTTCGTTTTTTTGTTTTGTGAAATTGCGGAAGAGCCTGTTTTAGTCGAGCCGAAATCACATGCAGATTGCTGAGTAAAATCCTCCCTGAACAAATTTACTGAGTTCGTTACCATCGGTGTGTTGGTGTGCGCAAAAAGTTGAACATTAATCTGTGATTTGGGATGCAGAAATAGTCCAAGCTGTTGTCTACAGAAGCTCTCTTGTATAATTACGGCTTAGAGCTGAAATCCCAGAAGATTCCAACGCAGCTGTGATTACAGTTACTTATATTATTGTCAGAGGACACATTAGGTTTCTCGCTGATCTTTTATCTGCGGACAAAGGCAGTGTTTTCTGTCTCTGCGCCAAGTGAAAGGTCGTCTCATCTCCTATGTGTGTCCTTGTTATGTAAGTCAGTTTGGGTCGCTGTGGTAGGCCAGTCATAACTGGACATAATCACCCACCTGCAGATGACTATGATGGAGGCTCGGGAGCCGCCGCTGCACGGCAGTGCTGAATCTTAACGAGCTCAGAGATCCACCACACACAGAGAGGCAATAGGGAAATAAATATGAACAAACACAAAACACAAAAAAAACTCTGAACACAGACTTTGTAAAAGCTCTGAGATATGCAATGGCTTCCGAAATGGAGAATTTTAGTCTGTCTTAGAGTCTTAGTCTGCTTCAATTCGATATGAACCAAGAATATAATGTGTCCACACGGGTTTTATTGACGGGATGTTCAAATATCAATTACAGACCATTATACGGAGGTTTACAGTATAATAACATATTTATACATGTAGCACGGTTAATAACCATGTCATTCTATAATGAATCACTGATACTGAGAATTATTTTGATATTTTCAACACTTTTGAAAGTCCTGTTCTGGTATAATGCAATATAAGTGCTTTGAGTTTGATTGATCATTCAGCATTTTTCAATGAGAAACACTATAAAACATCACAAATGTTTGCTGGGTAGGAGCTGGGAACCCTTAAAAATTATACAAATCTCACAGCCATAATTTTTTGGAAAATAATCTAAGAAGTAGGAATGACGAGTAAGCTCAAAACACTGTTTTCAAACAACATTTATATAGATCAACACGCTTCTTATGATAAACAACCCTTGTGAACATTACTGTCCAATGTTGTGCACTACCCTCCGTGTTAAATTCCTTGTATGTCTAACATGAAATAAATGTTCCTGATTCCTGATGGTTTCTCAGTGTATCGTGTTTCATGAGGCTGTTGATTACATATACTGTGCTTATGAAAATAATATAGAAAAGAAAAATGTATTTGTTAATACTCTATTTCTGTTTTACGTATATTCTGTATCGATGTATCCCTTCTGCAGAGTTTATTTTTGTCTTGGCTGAATAGATTACATTACATTACCAATTTCCCTTGACTCTACTGAGCAGCTGCCTTTCAGATCATTGTTTTGGTTTAATGCCTGAGAATTTGTTTTGCATCATCCTTGTTTTAATCTTTGTTCAGAGATTAAGATATCTTTCTCAAAAGAGATCTCAGTAAAAATACAAAGAATGCAATCAGTAGAGAATAAACTACAACTACAAGGTGAAAAAGAATTACAACAACTCCAATGATAATAAAAAATACATTAGAGATCAAAGTTTCCAAAGGCAATGAACTACTCCATTTTAAAACTCCAGCTCTGCCAACATTATTGCGTACATGACGGATATCTAATGTTAAGCAGTTACTGGATGATACGATTCCTTGATTTAGATGAAAGAAGAGTGATGAATGAATGACATGAAACAACTATTTCTTCTTGACTGTGAGGAAGTCCATTTAACCGTGTGATCCAGAGAAGAATGATGAGTTTGAAATGTGTAAGGCTTAAAATATTACGATACATGGGGTTTCACAGCTGAAGTGTTGATGGGGCAGCGTGATGATATGAATATCACAGTCAAGGACAGGCTGCATGACATTGATAAGGTTGGAAGAAGAAATACGTTTTTCAATACAAGAATTTTTAATTTTGGAGTCAAATGTCGAAAGTCTGCTGTCACGTAAGAATTGTGTTAGGAGTATTATTTAAAGTTAAAATGGCAAGAAAGTCAGTGTCACTGATGGAGGTGCAGAGCATCATGCACGGTGTCTTTTAGGCATTTAAAACTATTCTGAAGAACATTGCAGCAATGCAGCAGTTAGAATTAATCCTATTATATATACCATTGCCTATATTTGCTGCTCAGAAACTTAAGCTATTAAGGAGCTTGTTTCTGACCTTTTTCATTTTTGTATATTTTCATTTAATTAGATAAATAAGAAGTGAATGAACGTGGTACTCTTAACAGAATTCTGAGCATGGTGCAATGTGACGTGATTGTGTGTTGACACTTAAGTCTCTCTCTCTCTCTCTCTTTCTGTTTTTAAATCGTAGCTTCCGTCTATTTGTAACCGCGCCGGTTTGCGCGTGCATTTTGCATCTTTTTTGGATCATGTGAGTGTCTCTGTTGTGTCTCACTGGCTGCTATTGGCCGCCTCTTTCAACTGCACCTGTTACCACTGATAAAGCCGCCGCGACCCACAGCGCTGTGACGGAAATGTGTCCCTGCTAATCCCAATTTCTGTAACCAGTGTGCAAGTGGAATTAGTGAGCGAGCTAGTTAGCTAACTCGTTAGCAGCTAAGTGAGTAGAACTTCAACAGTGTAGATAATTGTCCCACCTCTTTTCACAGCGTAGGGAAGCACATTTCTACATTTCTATTGA